CCTGCTGCTCCTGCTGCTGCTGCTGATGCTGATGCTGATGCTGATGCTGATGCTGCTGATGATGATTATGCTTATGTGCCAGCAGCTTGCCCCTCAGCTGTGACGCCTCGCCCCGCGCCTGGCTCTCTGCCTGGCGTGCGGCCTGCGTAGGGGTTTCAGGCGTGTTCAGTCTGCACAGCGCAGCTCGCAAGCAGATGTTTGGTGCCCTTGGTCCTATGCGTGTCAAGTTGGCAACGAAACTTGCTTGCTTGGAAATCCCAACACAGATCCGCAACCGCAGCAAGCAGCCGTTGCACACTGCCTCGGCTTTTGACAAGGGGGCTGCGCTGTCCAGAGGGAGCGCCATACACTAGCGCGCTGCACGTCAATCAAACAAGTGCAAAGTGGTCAGCCCTGGCGCACCTGCAGCTCGCCCCGCAGCCTGTCCAGCTCCTGCTGCGCATCACGTTGCCCTGCCCCGAGCTCCGCCAGCGCCCGCTGCTGTTTCTGCTGCTGCTCCGCTCGCTCTTGCAGCTGACGCTGCAGCTCGGACACCCGCGCACCCTGGGCATCGCCTGCCGCCCGCTCCGCCGCCAAGAGATGCTCCAGCTGCTCCTGCCGTCGGGCCCACTCTTGTGAGTCCGCCCTGTGTCGTGTCGCCTCTGCCTCTGCAGCAAGGGTTGCAAGCAGGCCAGCGGCCAGGGAGGCGCTCGCGGCGTCTTGCGTAGAAATGTGCGGCAAGTGGGGTTGAAGGGCCACGATTCATTAGCAACCAACCATCCCTTCAAACACACAGATGCACAGGCGGCTGCTGCACCAAAAAAGACCATCTGTTGGATAGCCTGTGTGCCATTGCAGTACTCAACAGCGCCAACCTCACATCCCCGCCTGACGGGTGCTGCACACGCACCCAATGCATGCAGCTGTGCAGCCAATGTGTCGGCGGCCGCAACTGCCTGCCGCCCTCCCTCCCGCGCGCGCTCCAGCCGCCGCGCCAACATGTGCGCCCGCGCCTGCGCTGCACTTGCTGCCGCCCTCGCCGCCGCCGCGCCTGCTCGCGCCTCGCCCGCCCTCCCGACCGCCCGCGCCCTGTCCGCGGCGTCGCGGCGCGCCGCGTCTCGCTCCGCCAAGAGCGCTGCCGCACGCGCCTCCGCCGTTGCGACCTGCGCCCTGGCCGCGGCCGCCTCGCCGCGCGCCGCCGCCGACTGCTTCCGCACGTCGCACTCGGCCGCACGTGCCTCCATCAACTCGTCCCAAAGCGCGGCCCCCCGCTCCGCAGCCGCGCTCTCCAGCACCTGCACGCGAGCCGGCGCGCCCGGCGGACCGGCGCCGCCGATCGCGGCCAAGCGGGCGGCCGCAGCCGGCAGCAGCGCGTGCATCGCGCGCGGGGCTGCAGCTTCGAGTGCTGCTGTTGCTGCCGCGCTGCTGCCTGCTGTGCTGCCTGGTTGATCCAATGCTGGCATTACTGACAGCGGTGCCCAGGCGCCGGTCTCCAAGTCCAACACATGGCAGTCCGCCAGCAGCCGCCGCCCGTCGTAGCCGCCGTGCAGCAGCAGATGTCGCGCGCTGCCGCCGCCGCCCGCTTCGCCGCAGGCCGACAGCGCGGCGCCGCGGCGGGCGGGCGGCGCTGCGAGGAGCCCCTGCAGCGGCGCGGCGCGGCGGTGTTACGGGCAGAGCTGGCAGCGGCTGCAACCGCTTTGGTTCTGAAGCATGGTGGTGCAGCCCCTAGCACCACAAACCGGCGTGTGCATCGCACCTTTGCTTGCAGCCGCCGCCACTGCCAGGTCGTCAAGTCAAGTTCCCAAATGTCAGCCAGGTCCCTGCTGCCGTCGAAGCCGCCGAAAACGTACATCCGACCGCCAGCTACGCACGCCGCATGGCTGCGGCGGCGGGGCGGCCAGGGGTCCCCACCTGCAAAGCCGCAGGGGATCGCATCACACGGCAGTTCAGGGGTTTCAAGAGAATCGGCCTGAGTAATCCACTTTATTTTCGCTGTTTCTGCGGCGCTCTGTGTTTGACGCGCTTTCGGCCACACGCACCTACCGGCGCGCGCGACGCGCCGGCACCGCCCTTTGCCACACAGTGGGCGGCACAGTGCGAGACGACTGTGAGTGCAGAATCTGTGCTCAACAAACATGTGATCCGCGCACCTGCTGCTCCTGGCTGCCACCAGCGGCTGTCGTCAGGGGACCACACCCACAGGTCGTTAAGGCAGCCCGCGCCGCTGCGGTAGCCGCCAAACAGCACGGCGCGGCGCGATGCACCGCAGTAGCACAGGGAGTGGTGCGAGCGCCCCATCGGCGCCTGCGCAGCCGCTGCCGCTGCCCCGTCAACAGAACCCCCGCGTCCCGGCCGCCAGCGCGCCCGCCAGGCCTCGCCTTGCGGGGTGCCAGGGCAGGCGGACGGGCCGCAGCGCTCCAGGTCGCAGATCCAGATGTCTGAAGCCTCTTCGCCTCCCGCTGCGCCAAGGAAGCCGCCGTGAAGCAGAAATCGGGCGGGGCCGGCGGCGCAGGCTGCGAAGTCGCGCCTTTGGCAGGGGCCCACCAGCGCCGAAGTTTCCCCTGCACTGCTGCGGTCAACCCCGCCGCTGCTGGCTGCATTTGCGGAGGTGGCAATGGCGGCGCTTTCTCCCAAGTCAGTGGCTTGGTGCCCGCACCCGCCGGGAAGCTGCTCGAGCGTTTCGCAACGGTAGCGAAACGCTGCACCGCCGCCGCCGCCGCCGCGCTCCGCCCCTGCAAGTATGCACTTGGCTTTGCAACGATGGCCCTCCTCCCTGGCGGGGCCGCGTTTGGCTGCGCCGCGCCCCTCCCGCCAGAGCGTCACCAGCACAAGGTCACCCAGCCACGCCCCGTCGCCCGCCGTGCTCACGCCGCCGTACACAATGAATGTCCTGAGGGGCACAACCGACCCCCCGGCCGCCGCGACGCCGCAGGTCGGCGCCGCCTGCTGCTGCCCGAGCTCTGCGCTGTGGCTGTGGCGCTCGGCGCCGGCGTCGGCCGGCGGCGGCTGCTGCACGGCGTCCAGACTGAACGCCGCGTGGCGCGCCCGGGCCAGCAGCGCGGCGCAGGCGGGGGTGGCTGGCTCCGCCGCGCGCCAGCGCAGGTCGGCACCCGAGAGCAGCGACCCTTGTTTGGTGGGGGACGGGGGTGCACGCGCATTGTTAACAGGTATAAAGAGATGCCATGTAATCCAGAGTGCTGACACCAATCAGGCTTGCTAAAATGTTTGGATTGAGGCAGCCGCCCCAATAGTTGTGGCACGGTGCCGAGCAACTGCTCCCGACACCGATTGCCCCCCGCCTGGGCCCACAACCGAGAGTGTCGCAGCTTCTTCTCAGCGCTTTCTAGGCGAATAGACCTGCTCGATCAACCGTGAACGCACCGGCAACCGCGCCAGCGCCAGCGAGCGCCGCCTGCCGCTCCAGCCACGCCGCCCGCCGGTCGGCGGCTGCCAGCTGCTCTGCGGCCGCCGCCCGTGCGGCCTCGGCACAGGCGGCACCCGCCGCGCTCTCGGTCGCTTGTTCCTGCCGAAACGGCAAAGAAACGGGGCAGGTGCGCCGAAAAAGTCAGCGGTGGGGTTTGCTGACGACATCATGGCTGTGCGACGGCTGTCGACGCCGAAGCTTTACTGCTCAACTGAACCAGTAGGACTCGCAAACAGCTGCATGCGGCGTGCGGCAGCTGAAGAGTAAGGTCCGCCTCAGCAAGTTCACAGAGCAGGCGCACCTGCAGCTGCACAGCAATCGCGACCCCTCGACGCAGCCTCAGGCGCGCCGCCGCGACGCGCCAAGCCCCCAAGGCGGCGGCCGCCAGCGCCCGCGACCGTGCCGCGCGCCGCAGCGCCACCAGCCTCTGCCCGCGCGCGCGCCGGCGCGCCGTGGCTCGCCACGCCGCAAGCAGCCGCCGTGCCGCCGCCGCACGCAGCGCGCGGCGCGCAACTGCCTCGTCCCTCGCCTCCCGCAGCGCCGACATCCCCCAAAGCATGCGCAGCCGCGCGCCCGCGGCCGACAGCCGCGCGGACGCGCCCAGCCGCGCGTCGCGACGGCGCGCCACGGCGGCGCGCCAGGCGCGCAGGCAGCGGGCGCGGCGGG